TTTAATCTAGTCTAATTTACTAGTTCAGTCTTTGAGCTGTCGAATTTGATTGCTAGCTCCTCTGCTAGGTTAAAGAGTTTTTAGGTCTCTTTTTCTAGTAATTTAACGTTTTTCTTAATAGATGTTGTAGATACTAATATCTGTAGGTCGTCTATATAAGAAGAGGAGTAGATATTTCCGTTTATTGTAATTAACTAAAATAGTGGTTTTGTGTAGATTAAAAATAGGATTAGAGAAGCGGGGCTGCCTTAGGGCGTACTAGTGTTTACCTCCTGTAGATCTTCTACTTGGCCATCAAAGGATAGCTCTAGTAGTCTGTTTTCTAGGAAGGATTTAGTCCAGGATAGCAGGCAGCAGGGAAGTCCTTGATCCTTCATATTTTCTAGTAGCTTGTTTTTAGCCACGTGATCAAAGGCTCCTTTTATGTCTAGAAATATAGTTGTAGTAGTCCTATACTTCTTTTTCTGCTGCTGTATATTATTATAGAATAGGAGAGCGGCGTCAATTGCTGATTTCTTTAATCTCCCGCCTAACTGGCGTTAGACGTTTATATATATGTATATCCCAGTGAATATCGTATTTTATTACCCCCCCCTCTAGCAACACCCATTTCCAGACCCCTACAGTAACACAAAGTTTTCTCTCACACACACATACACATCCTTCCACGCTTCCCTTGCTCCTCATTTCCAAGTTCCCAATTTCCCAATTTCCCACCCAAAATAATCCCTACATATACGCAGCAGCAGCAGCAGCAGCGCCGCGCGGTGCGCCCACAGTCGTCGTAACGCTACTAACCAGCGTAGCCGTCCTGGTCACGCCACTGCTCACGGTGCGCGTGACGGTGGTACTCGCGGGCCCGCGCGTAATCAGGCACGAGCAGGCCGACGAAATGGCGCTGGGCCCGAGGCCAAGCGAAATGTTGATACCGCCGCCCGGTAGGCCCAGCGAGATGTTGAGCTGTGGTGAGCGCTTGAGTGCTGTGCCGCACGTGGCGTCGTAGAAGGTGTAGGGTGATGTGGGGTTCAGATTGGTGTTTTCGGAACTGTGAGGGTGAGGCAGGGGGGTTAGCTTGGCGTGGCGTGGCGTGGCGGGGAGGTGGGAAGGCTTTGGGGATTTGGGGTTTGTCTTTGTATGGTGGTGGTAGAGGGGGAGGAGGGAAATAAGATGGTGGTGCGGAAGATTATAAGTAAGTACGAGGAGAATACATACACAGTCACGTCAAAAAGCATGCAATTCGCCTCGCCGAAGCCAAAGCTCTTGCATTTGGAATCCGCCTTGCAGAGCTCGCTGCATGCCGCGAAGGTGTTTTTTGTGCCGCTCGATTCAAAGTAGTAGGCTGGTGTGACTTTGACGTAGCCGGCGACGCCGCAGCTGGGTGTTGTGGTGGGCGCGCTGGAGGCGTGGTTAGTAGGGGGATGGTTGTGGTGGGAGATGTGGGTTTAAGGACGGCTTACGGCGGGGCACTGGATATGATTGGGGATGAGGCGAGGGTTGATGATACGATGGTTGAGGAGACTAGGGTTGAGGAAACGAGAGTTGAAGAGACAAGAGTTGAGGAAGCAAGAGTTGATGACAGTAGACTTGACGAGGCAAGAGTCGAGGAAGACCGAATTGAAGAGGAGGATAGAGAAGTCGAAGAGGAAGTCGGAACTGATGATGAAGATGGTAGAGAAGTCGAAGAGGATGTAGCTGAGGATGCTATAGAGGTCGAGGAAGAAGATGGTACCGAGGGAGTGGAAATAAAAGTTGAAGATGGCTTTGACGTCGGTGTTGGTGTTGGTGTTGGTGTCGGCTTAGGAGTAGCCGATGGCTGCACAGTCACCGTCGTCTTTACCGTCGTGGTTGTCGTCGTAGTATACCCATTCGTAATAGTAGCTGTAGCTGTTCCCGACTTCAAGATGTTGGAACAGAACAGCAGCGCTTCAGATGTGTGCCCTTCGAATGCATCGAGTCCACAGTCACTGACTGGGTATCTCGTTAGCTCCCGCTTTCTCAGAATATAAACGTGCGTACCGTCAGGATTGCCAAACTGCCTTCGCTCGTGAAATGCGGCTTCGGTCATTGTAGCAAATGCTACGGTGAGGATTGAAACCTTCATGTTGGTGATTTGTTAGCTCGTAGCTGTACGAATCTTCAGAAACCAGAGTCTAAATGACCGCTTCACAGTATGTCAACCCCAATGCCACTACTTATACCAAATTCGCGGCGCTTGTTGTACCGCATACTGAATGGTACCACAACGACAAAAGTATGCAGTGTTGTGGGGTTCAATAAGAAATAAATGAATTCTCTCGCTTCCTGCATCCTCTAGTTGTCGACCGAAGCGCAATGGGCCAGAATAATATACTACAGTGGTTGACACTGGGACTTGACACGAGGTTTTTGCCCGCCACCCGCCGGTAGATGTTGATGGAAGCAAGTTACCGAACCACCAGTCTGTGCAGCTTCTGCGGCCAGATCCATGGCCGTGCCGGTACAGCGGTCGAAAGTTCACAGCAACCAATCAGCCAAAGACGAGAAATTGAGCATCAAAGATGGATAAGTGTGGGGAAATTTACATATACTAGATAGCGGCCGGGGTGGCCTTGTACAGGTACATTATCCCTACTTGACCCGGTTCCGGCAAAATGTATATGCAGGCGTAGTGGAGTAAAAATAGCGGTTGTGTCTTCCGCACTCTAGATGAAGCCGAAGCCATTGAAATTTGCTTGGCAGAGTCTAGTCTATCCGAAGATGTGTTCTTGTCCAGGGCCGGTCCGCTCCACCATACACGGTCCAGGCCCGTCCGAAATAGCCAGGCCTGGTCCTTGAGAACAAGCGCACAGCTGAGTAAATGAACCTGCATAATGCTCCAGCTCTTTGGATCCCATGTTGCTCAAATCGGCCCTCATCTGGCTGCTGTCGAGTTAGGTGCGCCGGACAAGGAAACAAATCCGCCTGGTGTCATCCGAATGGAATTGGAAGTGTTTTTCAGTGAGCGGTGCAAACCTAGCCTCGACATGGAACTTGACACCGAGATCGTCACTAATCTTCCTCCACATGTCCTTGAAGCTTTCAACATTGTGCAAAAACATCATGCCCACCGCCCTCTCCTCTTCCCGCGCGTTGACAGCTCCAATCTGGCGCCCGAAAATCATGGAGCCGGGCTGAGGCCGCAGCAACGCAGCAACGGCCTTGGAGACGCTGATCTGCATATCGTAGCCCCACAAGTGGAAGAAGGCACCCGCGTAAATCATGTCGAACTGGGCCTTGAAATCCACAAGTGCGGAAGCGGGATCCAGAATATCGGCTGTGAAGAACTGGCTTGGCAGCTTGCCTCGATCCCGGAAAAGCTTGTATCCCAATTCGATAAAGTCGGGCTTGAGGTCGCAGCCATATATATTCTCTGCTGGCGCCCCGCGATGCACCAGCTCACGCACCGTGTGGCCGAAGCAGCACGCCATATCCAGCAGCTTTTCGCCGCTGCCTAGGCGTTCAAATACCTCGTCAAACTCGGCGGTGAGGTGTGGGAAGCTGGGCTCGACGAATCGAAAGTGGCCGATACATGGATACGGGTGGATTGCCCAGGCTTCGTCACGGATCTTGACGACGTGATTCAGTACCTCGTCCCGCGGGATTCCGCTGTAGGTTTCAAGCAGCGAGCGGATGCTGGGTGCTATGTTGTCTTCTGTGGGATTCTGCTCGAACCAAGGGGGTAGCGCTGCTGGATTCTTTTCTGTCTCGGTCATGATGGGCTTTGTCCTCGTCTGTCCTCGTCAGCTTGTGCGGTGTTGTTTTTGTCTTACCAGTGCTTTTTTTTTGCCAGCACAATCACTCAAGGTGCTGACATGTCTATGACACCCCGGTTCTATGCGCCGCTAGCATCCTATCGCCGGAGTTCACGCCGATACGCCCGTTGGAGATATACTGACTCAGCTCACGTAGTCGGTGAAGACCAGCACCTGCAGCTAAACCTAGCATGCGTGGCAGATCCCGTAGCATGACGTGCTTGCTTGCATCATTAGTCTTCTAATAAGCTCAAACACTCTGCAACGACAGTGTAAGATTCAGGGTCCGAGAAGATACCCAGTCATCCACGTGCGCTGATGAAGATTTGCTATTACTTTCCTTTTGTTTGGAGATCACTAATATAGTGTTACTTTACAGAAAAATGCTCTACAGTTTTCACATCATTAGCTATTTGATGTGGTCGAGCAATCTGAGAAGAGGCAGTCAGTGTCAAATTTAGTGTTGACATATTCGTGTTTGTCACTATCCTGCTGGTCGATAGTAGGAGTCTTGCGTACAAACATGTACTTGCTCAACCTTGATAACAGATGGATTTCCATCGCTCTGCTTTCTTTCACAGTGGATACTATTGTCTCAATCCCACGACTACCCAAAGATGCGCCGTTTCCACTTTCGATATCTACCAACTACTACTCAATTCACGGGACAGTTTCATATTCAACCGTAACACTGAACCGCAAGTGCGCAATAAACTTGATCATTTCCAGTCTGACACTCCCGGGTATATCCCCATGACGGCCATGCCAATCAATCACTGCCAACTGCTTCGTCACACCACCCAAAACAAAGCGCATACCATTAGTCAACGCAATGCAAAAACCCCTTGATTTCGTCACTAAAATACCTTCTTGATCACATACTTACCTCCACTACCCTCCCGCGTTCCGAGTAACACACCAGCAATCCATCCAGCGTGTCACAAGCTTTGCACCCGTGGGCTAACCAATACGCCTGCAAATACGCAAGCGCGTCATAAGTCACACTCTGCGTATCACAAAGCACCCCAGAACTGTTATTCGAAGCGAACCCGCAAACTACACTTCACTTTCCCATACAATTCCCAAGATACATCCGCCCTGCACGTATCCATTCCTCCCCCCTTCCCCCGCGGCTTCATCCCACAAGACCGCACTCAAGCACTGACGAACAGCATCCGTCAGAGCCAGCGGCAACATCCTTCCTCCTGGAACGGGCAATTCGTCAAGACACGGGTTCCTATCCTATGGCTGCTGCATCTGCCCCCGGAGCCGCCCACTTCGAAACAAAAGAGGCCGTAGCACAACGGCATCGTCTGGACGTCAAGAAAGAAAAAAAACAAACCCATCAAGAACGCAGTGACCCGTCTCTCCCCCCCCACCTTCCCTCCCGCGAATCCTTTGCACGGAGGCGAGGCGGGCTGGGAACAGCGGGATGCGTGCGCTGAAAGAAGCTGCTGCCCGTCCATCCGTGTCAATCCGGGTCTTGGAAATGACGGCGTGATGGAGAGTAGAGGGACAGCTAACTTGCATACAATGTGTGTTTATATTTATTATCTGGTTTCCGTGCTTGAAGCGCTGATATCATCATCATCATCATCATTACCATACCTACCACTGATGCAGTAACAAGAGAGAAGAAGAAGAAGAAGAAGGAAAAGAAGAAAGAACACCATGTTCGTAACCACCACACATGGCGTGGCCAAAAGCAGCAGCACAAACAGTACTGAATCGAGCTCGACCAAGAACGAAGACCAACATCATCACCTCGATGACAATGACAATCACAATCACAATCACCATGATGGCCGGTCTGCCCATCTCACGCTTCTAGGCTCCTTCCTCGTTTTCTACGCCTCCTTCGGCCTCATGAGTAGCTTTGGCTTCTTCCAGGATTTCTACGCGCGCGAGTTCCTGGTGCACACGCCCGAGTCGCGTATCGCGTTTATTGGCACGCTGCAGATGGCGCTGACGAACCTCATGGCGGCCGTGTCGGGCGCGCTGTGTGATCGGTATGGTGTCAAGGTTAGACTTACTCACCCCTTTACAATACCCACCCTTTACAATACCCACACTGCACTGCACAACATAACACTGCCCCACCTTCTGCTTTCCAGTGCGCAATGAGAAAAGGAAATAAGAAGAAGAAGAAGAAGAAGAAGAAGAAGAAGAAGAAGAAGAAGAAGAAGAAGAAGAAGAAGAAAAAAAAAGGGAAACTAACATTCCAACACAGTACCTCTTCCTCTGCTCGGGCCTCGGCACCATGCTCTCCCTGCTCATGCTCTCGTTCGTGGCGCCAGCCCAATTCTGGCTTGTCTTCTTGATCCACGGCGTGCTCATGGGCTTGTCGATTTCCTTTGGCGTCCAGCCTGCGCTCACCGTCGTTGCGCAGCGCTTCACGCAGCATCGCGCGCTGGCCATGGGTCTTGTTTCTACGGGCTCGGCGCTCGGTGGAATAGGGTTTCCACTGGTCTTTGGCCACTTGCTGCCCAAAGTCGGGTTTGCCGTTGCGCTGCGGCTGGCGGCGCTCAAGGTCGCGTAAGTATGGGAAGATGTGTGCTGTGTGTTCTTTTTTTTTTGAGGGGGTGGTTGGACTTGGAGTTGATGGGAGTGATTGATTGACTGACGTGTGGCAATAGTGTTTGTTACGCCATTGCGCTGTGCATTTCTATCAGCAGGCCGGGCGGCAGGTTTGAGGCAAAGAATAGCGCTTGTCTGATTGATTTTCGCGGCTTCTTGGACCCTCGGTATGCCGTGTTGTGTGTGGGGACGTGGTTTGCCATTCTGGGTCTTTGGCTACCGGCTTACTATATCAGTGAGTGATGCTGGGTTTTGTGAACTAATTTTCTCTCTCTCTCTCTCTCTCTCTCTCTCTCTTGCTAACTCGTTCGAATAGAAACATATGCCGATAATGTGTACCCTGGCAACAACATTAGCAAGTACTTTTTGTGCATCATCAACGGGTGTAGTATCGTTGGCGCAGTTCTGTAAGTTGGTTGAATTTTTTTTTTCAACCATGTCCCTATTCCAGCCTTGAAATTCTTACTACTAGAATTATCTTCTGTTTCATACTTGTCACTTTTTATTCTCTACTTCCTAACCGTCTATTCTCTACTCCTCCTCCTCCTCCTCCTACAAACTAACACCCCCCAGCACCGGCCTCCTCGCCGACCGGCTCGGCCATCTAACCCTCCTGTGGCCCGCAACCCTCATCTCCTCACTTCTAACCCTCTTCCTATGGCTCCTCTCGCGCAACCTCACGACGCTCGCCCTCTTCGCCTGCACATACGGGCTAGCCGCCAGCAGCGTGACAACGCTGCCGCCCGCCATCATCAGCCAAATCACACCGTCGGGCCAGCTCGGCGCCCGCACCGGCGCCTTCTACAGCGTCATTGCCGTGTCGAGTCTGATTGGCACGCCGATTGGAGGTGCGCTGGTGCGCGATGCGGGGAGTAGAGAGGGGTATCGGTTTTTGATTTTGTTCTCGGTAAGTCGAATGAGTGAATTGAATATATATATATATATATATATTATGGTGTGTGGATATCGGAAATCAGGGTAGTGTGAGAAGAAGGGCAAGACGGGAAATGCTAATGTTCCTGATGGGAAAATTTGGATAAAAACATCTCAATGGGCTGCCTGGAACAACGCCTGTGACTAGGTGTATAGATTATCTTCTCCACAATGCATACTAAGGGCCCCAGCACAACTTGCCATCCTGACATAAGCAATGGCTTAGAGGATTACACAATAGCCTTTTCACGTGCGCCTGTCTTCCAACACGCCACTGTTCTCCGCATACAATCCAGATCATTATAACGCCACTCCTTCCTATACTACACTTTTATCCGTCCATCTTCCATCGTGCATCCCTGTGCACAATACTACATTGAACCCCCCACCCACGCATCCAAACCTAGAAAGCCCTCCTCTAGCTCCAGACTATCTGATGCCTCTACATTTAGTACCCGTGCATTCTCCCATCCATCCAACAAGCACCGTCCCCCAGACTCTTCGACATTTAGAACCCCCCCCCCCTATGACAAGCTCACTTCGCACTTTGGTCCTTTCCATGCAGCCAGCGGGCACCGAGCATGAATACCGCGCCAACGAGCAGTGCACTTCCCTATCACCTCTTCTGTTTAAAGGGCCGATGCAGTTTTATTCTAGATTGACTTTGCACATTCAAATCGTTCACTCTGAGGCCGGTGTACTAACACCAACGAAGCTCGTTTAGCTGCACACCGGCTTCAAGCCCAACCACGGTAGGCGGCGGTTTGTGGAGATTGCATTTCCACTTCTGCTTCCATCTATACCCGTTTGTCCCTTTCTCCACTTGTCCCTTTCGACCTCGGCTCGGGAATTGTTGTCAGATGGTAAATATTACCTTCTTCTCCACCTTCACTCGGCACCGACGCTACATGCCACGGACTCTCTAGCGCCTTGGCGGAACATGTCCGTGCCCACGCCACGCCACGTGCCATGTGCCATTTCACATCCGGTGAAGTGTTGGGCCGATCTTTTTGCAACCATGAGGTCTACCAGGGTGAATGGCAATCAATGTGCTGAGGGGAAACAAAGTTTGCAGCGGCGGAAAAGGGCATCGATGTACACCTACACGGGCAGTCATCCCTCAACTCGGTATGTGTGGGCGGTGGATAAAGGTAAGCCTGGCTATATCATGCGCACGAGGGCGTGGCGGCACACAGTCTTGAGATGACAAACCCCCTGCGATGAGCGAAGAGATATTGTGTGCCAGGGGGGGCGATGGGCCGGGAGATGGACATGATTCAAGCAGTTGAACCATGTGGATATGTATTTTTGGTGGCTGCGGGGGTCTCTCTATTTGCAGTTCTTTTACTGCAATAGAGAAGGAATGCGATGCTGATGGTACGCCACAGGCATTGATGGAGCTGGTACAATGGGGGGCCTGGGAGTCTTGTTAGCCGCAATGAGAAAGAGGCACGTCGGAGGTTGTCAGACCAGACAAACATCAAACGGTTCACTAGTAGCCTGTCAGACGGCATTGACAGTGCTCTATCCACCATGTGCATGGTAGGGTCCTCCTTTTTCTTTTCTTATCCTCCTGCTCTTCTGCCTCGGTACAATTGCCTTGCCGGTTTTTTTTCCTTCTTATTTGCTTGGTGGCTTCATATCTTATTGTAATCTCAAAGCCGGGTTCATTTCGGTTTGCTGAGCACGCCAAGTGCATTGTCCATGTTTGTGCAGACGTGTTTGTCCTGTTGAAAAGAGCGTGGCGTATGAAAAAGAAAGCATGTTTCTCCAGGGGCTCGGGCACCAAGTGCAACCCATGGTTCAACAATTCGGTTCTCGCAGGGTCTCAGGGATAGGGAGCCAGGCACGGCTAGAGTAAGCCTGTCTTGGTAGTCCCAGCACCCGCCTGGTGACCTAATCGGTCGGGTCGGGGCCGTGGACCTTGATGACGTGACGTGTGCAGCTACTGAAGCGGTTGAAGGTTTTCTGGGGTATCCAAGGACGCCGTTGGTTCATTGGCTGGGTCTGGTTGCCAGACTAGCGAGGTGGATTTGATATCTTCAGGGTGGACGCCTGGCCTGGCCGGGCGGGCTAGCTGCAGCGTGGCGGAGACTGGCGGGGGATGGGGACATGGACAGTAGCACCAGACATGTTTTGTGCTGGTTCGACGCTGCGCAAACTTAGATTAGTCGAGTGCGAGCATCGGGGTGCCGGGATGTGGTGACTGAGCAGAATGCATGGCGCTTGTGGGTGTCGAGAGAGCGTGTGGGTGTGCATGCACGTGCCCTGGACGCTCCAAACACTGCTGCGGCAGAACCAAAACGAACCGCCCTCGCTCGAGCAGAAATGCTGCCAAAAAGAAACGCGAGGCATCGCCGGGCAGCGTCGGAGAATTTGGCCCTGCATGCCCATGCCCAAGCCCATGCCATGTCGCCATTGCGGTGCCAGTCGAGTGCGAGTGCGCGTGTCGAAGGAGGCTCCCCCTGGCCCCAATGTTCCCACTCGCACTCGTGCTCGCACTGCCTTTGCACTGTCGCTACTTACGTCATGCATCCATGCCCGCTTGGCTCGGCGGCTACGGTAGTGGCAGCAGGCAGCTATCTCGCCCCCCCCCCCCCGACACCACATCCGCCCACCTCAAGCTCAACACCAGCCCAGGCTTAATCGCAGAGTCGTATAGCGTCGGTCCCCCCCTGCCCCCGAGATGCCTGTCATTGTGGTTGCCACGCCCGACGTCCCTTTGCACACGGCGATCAGCAGGCTTGACAGGCTCCCGAGTAATGTGCCCGCGTCGAAGAGGCACGAAATCGAGTCAGAGAAGCTGTCAGAAAACCTGTCAGACGCGGTTGCACAGCAACAAACTTCAGGATGCGAATGCGATGGCAGGAGAGGAGCCTTGGGATGGGCGCCATGGATGATGCGCCAAGCACATAGGAGAGAAAGGGAAAGGGAGCGAGGCAGGAGAAGATACTCGTTGGCCCGCGTAGAATCAGCATCCGACGGGCTAATAAGCGTACTGACTGACTGACGGGCGGACGGACTGGCAGACTGACTGACTGCCTGCCTGACTGACTGACGGACTGGACTGACTGGACTGACAGCTGGCACAGACACGGTAGTATTGCGAGGATCCACCAGCTCGCTTCCCCCGGGCTCGACTTAACCCGCCACGGCCAGCACACACTCAGTGCAGCCGTCAGACTACACCACGCCTACTCGCAGCTCGCAGTAGCACAAGGCTGGCCCTTTGCCTTCACACAGGTCGCGCCCTCAGACGCCGGCAAGCGACACAGGCCCATCGCGCCCCCAAGGCTCCGCCTCTCGTCCAATACGGCACTTGGCCCGCGGCGAGCGCGAGGGGATTTGCACAGGGGACGGCGGCGGAGAAGGCTAGGCATGCAGCCGAACCCATGCGATTTGTGGGTTGGCGATGATTTGGCCTGCCTCCTCACCGTCTTCAGCCTTGACAACACGCGCGTTGCCAACGCCCTCGCCGCCCGTCTGGCGTACAACGCTCACCTCTCTCGCACGTTGCATTGGCCCGCCCGCCATGCTACCCGCTGGCCGAGTGCTGCTCTGCTTCCCGCCCGCCCCCGTTTGACTGTTCAGCTGCACCTGAGCGCCCGTCCGGACTGAATGCCTCGATTGCCCGCGCCCAGCGACTCCCCACCTACCGTCATCGGGACTGCATCTCGAGGGTGCCTTGCATTAGCCCTCCACGCCCAGGCGTGCCCATATCCATGTTTCTCCAACGTTAGCCTGCCAGACTAGATCAAATCGTTGCTGCGCCCAAAGCGGCCGTCGGCGAGTCCAGTCGCTGCCAGCAACAGACTAGCCGCCCCGTTGTCTCAAGTCCAGAGACCCACTCAACGTGTCAGTTGTTGATCGACTACCTGGTATGTTTACATTACATAGACCCTCCTCTTCGTCATGGGTGTGCTCCTCTTCCGCACACTGCGCACGCCCGCCATCCCCAGCCAGCCTGTGCAATCAGCAAACTTCGGCGCTTTCCCTCTCCGAGCTGCCGCTGCCGCTTCGCCGCAGCCTCCGACCACTCCCCATGCCTCTGTTCAAGAACAAGATCCGATCAGCGCACGGCATGTTCTCTCAAAAGAGAGCCTCTGACGCTTCCAGGTCCTCAGCCTCAACCACTTCTTCTGCCCAAAAGGGGAGCTCTAGCGAGCTGGCCCCGGCCTATGTCGATAGCGTCATGGCCCCCGATGCAGACGCAGACGCGCAGGCCCAAGCCGACGGCAGTGGCGGTGCCATTAATGAACCGCTGGTCCTAGACTTTCCAACCATGTTCGATGGCGCTGACCCCAATACGAATGGTGCCCCTCTTTCACCCGTTATTAGCTTGGTCGATCTCGAGCGAAGAACAAGTTGGCTCTCGGATGACGATGATTGTGCCCCAGCGCCGCAAATTGAATTTGCAAGACGAGAGATTCATATCCCTTCTCGTACCAGGTATGCCCCTCTTTGTTCCTTCCCTTCCTTCCTTCTCTCTCCCCCTCTCTCCCCTCTCTCCCCTCTCTCCCCCTCCCTCTCTCTACTTTTGCCCTCTTGGCTCACCACCAAGTAGCTCCACCACCCCTCAGGCCATACAACATCGTGTTGAGTTACAAAGGCGATTGAGCCAGGACCCAACATCGCCCATTGTGCCTGTGACCCCAGATAGGGTACGGTCGCGTGCTCATAGCTATTCACGCACGCCAATTGCCACCCCCAGCCGCTCCCTGACATCAAGGCATTCTTACACGCCCCAGGTAGTCAGGTCGCCTGAATCATCAACTGCCATTTCAAGGCATTCGTATACACCAAACCCTCACACGACTCCAAATCGTTCCCATACACCAAACTCTTACTTTGCCAGCCCGGATCGGTCACATACACCAAACCCTTATATTGCCACCCCAAGGCGTTCACAGACGCCAATCCCTCAAACCAGCCCCACCAAGCGCTCGCAGACGCCAAGCCTTCAAACCAGTCCCACCAAGCGCTCACCGACGCCAATCCTTGAGACGAGTCCCACTAAGCGCTCACAGACACCAGTCTTTCAGACGAGTCCCACCAAGCGCTCACAGACACCAATTCCTCAAACTAGTCCCGTAAAGCGTTCACAGGCGCCAAACCCCCACACACCAAAGAACTCCCAAACACCAGTGGAGACTGCGCCTCCAACCATGCGGTCTTCAGCCGATTCAGTAATCTCTTATCAATCTACGACACCATCTGTCGCAACGCATAGGCTTGGACCGCTACAGCAAAAGGGCGGAACCCTTGAGGAGGGCGACAGACTCTCTCCGTTGCTAGAAGACGACTCAAACTCGTTCGATCTGGTCTGTGCACCGATCGAGAATGGATCAAACCATTTCTCGCTCGAGGACAGGTCTGAACAGCTATTTTCAAAAGAGCACCTGCAAGCCATCTTCGCCGATACCGCGTCCTTGCTCCGATTCACATCATTCCTCGGTACCTACCGACCCAATTCAGTCCCTACACTGGTCTACTACCTTGACGCATTGAAAGCGCTGCGAGCCATCAACTATGCAAACGCTGTCGCTGAAGCGCTAGAGCCCATCAACAACTTGGGTTTTACCGAGACCCCCGTGCGAGCTACCGTTAATGCGAACCTAGAGGAGAAGGCGGAACAGGCCTTTGATGTCCTGGTCCGGGACGACTTACCAGCCTTCATTACGCACGTCTTCGTTCAGGTAGCGAGCGTCAGCATCTCAAAGAGAGTCACGGGCAACCTGCCTCCCATACTGCGCGAAGCTAGTGAAGGGCTGGCAGAAGTGTTTTGTCTGACGGACCCGTCGAGGACCGACAACCCAATCATCTTTGCCTCCGAAGGTCAGTACACCCAATCTGCGATATTTCCATGACTCACCAAAAACTAGAGTTTCACCGCACAACCCAGTATGGTGTTGGATATGCGATTGGCCGCAACTGTCGCTTTCTCCAAGGCCCCAGAACGAACCGTTACTCTGTAGCTCGTTTTGCAAAGGCTATTAAAGAAGGCAGAGACCATAATGAAGTCTTTCTGAACTAGTAAGCGATGCCTGTCATTTGACTTTGCTATGTTGGACTAACAGTAGTTAGTCGCCGCGATGGCTCTCCATTCATGAACCTTCTCATGGTAGCGCCTCTACTAGACTCGCGGGGAACACTCCGTTACCACATTGGCGCGCAGATTGACGTCACTGGTCTTGCAAAAGACGCCACAGATCTTGAGGCATTTCAGCGCATGATGCAACAAGATGAAGAGGAGACAAACAAGGACGAATCAAAAGAAGAATTCAAGGCACTCTGTGAGATGTTTAACCACACTGAACTGGAAACCGTGCGCCGGTTTGGTGGCAACATGCACAGGGAACATTTGGAAGAGAAGGATGAGGCTAGCATGAATCACAAGCCCAGAGTGCTCATCCAGGATCAGTCTACGTTTGATATTTTCAAGCCCGAGAAACAAACAAACGCAGCTGATGGGCGCCTTTCTGGCCCATACAAACACGTAAGCTCAAGACTATGATGTACGAGTGTGACTGCATGGCTAACACATGACTCAGTATCTCATTGTCCGTCCAGCACCCTCTCTACGAATTCTCTTCACATCTCCATCGCTTCGCGTTCCCGGCATACTCCAATCCCGTTTTCTGGACCGAATCGGTGGCAGTAGCCGTGTCCGTGATTCTCTTGGTGACGCCCTCACAGATGGCTCACGCGGTGTCACTGCCAAGATCCGTTGGTTGACGCATCCAGTCGCAGACCTGGAGGACGCGACGGATGAAGGCCGGCCCCGTTGGATACACTGCACTCCTCTCCTTGGCCAGAATGGAGCTGTAGGTGTGTGGATGGTAGTCCTCGTGGACGAGAAAGACCATGTACAAGCAAGTCGCCGCTTTCGTCAGGCCCCGCCAATTCCCAACGACATTCGCGGCCATTCTCTTGCAAACTCTCCATTTCCACGCAACAATACGCGGCTGAGTGATTATTCCGAAGACAACAATAGTTTGTACCCTTCTCGAACGGCCTCCCCGTATAGCAATGGTCAGAGTAACGGAAACGGAAACGGAAACGGCTATAGCAATGGCAATGGCATAGCCCGGATGTCTGCCATGGAAAACCTGCGCCGACCAGTGACACCTCGCAGAGGGCAGAGTCCACTGACTTTTGATCAGCGGTCGCCAAACTCTGGGAAGTCATCTGTCAAGGATATCGTCAACGGGCACACTAGTGTTGATTCTTTCCGCATCTGATGGCACTGACGTCTGAAAGGAAGTCAAGGCAATATAGGTTGCAATATCAATACGTCATGAGAAGAGGACTGGCGCAATGTCGAAAGATTGAAATTGAATCTGGCTATGAACTTGGAGAACAGAGAAGATCTAAGCTTGCATGGAATCTGTATAGACGGTACCTGGTGCATTGGGTTCAAAGACGCGACGAGTGGTAATGTTGGTGGTAGTTTGCTATATACCCTTTTTGTATTGCATCTCTAGTATTGAACAAGTTGAACATGTCTACACATAATTGTAATCATGGGCTTTACAAACCGACTTGACATATTCTGCACGAGGCTGCTAAAAAGCATGGACGAAGCGACTGGCGCGACCAGTCTAAGCGAGACTTCCCCGCGGGAATGCCGCTGTCCCGCCAAACGTCTGACCTCTTCCCCACCACGACATTCAGCTTTACTGCCATTGTCCCGCTGCAGGAAAATGGCGACGATACGGCCAATGCGCCCAGATGACTTACTGCGCATATCCGCGACCAACCTCGACCACCTTACCGAGACATACAACATCGGTTTTTACCTCGAGTACCTGACCAAATGGCCCGAGCTATGCCAAATTATCGAAGGCATAGACGGTGAGATTGAAGGCTACAGTACGTTCCAAGCCAGTAGTAATACTTTGAAAAAAGAAACGGAACCCAAGAAAATAGACAGGTGCATACAGCTAACACGCATGCCCACCAGTCCTAGGCAAGCTCGAATCCTCGCCGTACCAACCGCCCATCAGCCCCTACACGCCCTCGACCACGGGCGTCGAATACCCCAACTACCTCCCATGGCATGGCCACATCACCGCCTTGACAGTTGCACCCAGCGCCCGCCGCCTCGGCCACGCAACCGCTCTCTCGTCTGCGTTGGAGCGCTCCTCGGACGCGGCCAACGCGTGGTTCGTCGACTTGTTTGTGCGCTCGACAAACGAGATTGCCAAAGAGCTGTATCGCAAGATGGGGTATAGCGTCTACCGCGTTGTTAAGGAATACTACAATGATGGCGAGGATGCGCTGGATATGCGCAAGAGCTGTAGTAGGGACGCCAAGGGCGAGTGTGTGCGGACGGATGGCGAGAAGTGGGAGGTTAGCGCTGAAGAGGTGTGGTGAGGTTTTGGAGTCATCATCTTCTTTTTTTATCGACTGGAAGAATGGAACTATACGATTATGATACCCGGGTGCTGGTGGTAAGTAGCGCTGTTGGATATTCTCCTTCGCTTTGCTGACGGTGGTTAGATGAGGTGACCAAATGCATGCTCTTGATAGGATACTTGGTTTGCTCTTGTGGGGCGAGATTACTTACTGTCAGGACTCGATACCAGGATAATATGCGGTGCATTTGTGGTTCGAGTATTTCGGTTTCACTTATTGTCAAATCAACGTACACTGAAAAGAGACTTGAATACAGAAATTTTCTCAAGTGGTATTTCGTTTGACAAAGTAAGAGAAGGGGCGATTAGGATTCTAGATGTTTTAGTCGGATCCCCAGAGCGTACATTCACTGATGTAAAGCTTGATGCTTACTGGTGGATTACCTTTCTCTTACCGGTTCTCCTTCACATGTCACACCGCCAGGCCTTTGCACTTACCCACAGTACTATTATTCTGTTGCTGCCTAGGGCCTATTGTTATTCTCTCGGTTGCTTTTCAAGTTGACTTTCTTCAACACCTGTCCAACTTGACTCACACAACTCCAACCAGCACTTCAAGCTTCCATTAGAGCCCTCATATCTTTCCCTTTCTCATACCAACATACTGATCGTCAACAACGCCAGAATGGCGGAAGCAGAGCGTACAAGCAGCAAAACGTTCAACTGGCAGGCTTTACCCACAGAGCTGAAAGAGCACATCCTGACCTTCTGCCTCCACCAATCCCCGCCCCCAGGCCTATCCAGGAGAACCAAAGGCGCCCCCGAAGTCACCGGCCAACTGGGAGACTGGGACTCCCTCCTGAGCGTATCCCGCCAAGTCCGCACGCTGTGTCTCCGCCTCTGTCTCTCAGGAAGCAGCAGCCTGGTGTACAAGCACGGCCTCTGCATCGACGTCGACACGCACCGCGACTTCAAAGACTGCATCCGCCGCCTAGGCAAATACTTCCAGCTGCTCGAACCCAACTCGCTCCCCCACGACGCCACAACGCAGCTCCTCGCAAAAACCTACCGCGACTTCCCGCTCGCCCACGCCCATCTCGCGCGCTACGCTACCCTGCGCCACGGAATCCGCAAGCTGCACCTGGAATTCTCCTTTCTGGATTGCATGCACTTTTTCCGCGTCACAGTCGCACACTTCCCGCGCTTCTACCCGCACTTCCGGCTCGACTACCGCGTCCTCGACTCGCTGTCGGGCCTCGTTGCTGTGGCCGTGCGGCTCCCGGATCCAACGGGCTACCTGGTGGACCGCGTGCCGCAGTGCGGACCGCGATTGTTCTACGGCGACCCGTATACTTGTCCGCGCATCTTGCATCGCGTCATCTACGAGGCGGCGGCCGAGGCCATGGCGCCGTGCGGCTTCTTCGCCTTGTACGGGTTTATGGATTACGACGAGAAAGCGCGGTTCGAAGCGCTGAGAGCGAGTGCAAGCGCCAAGGTCAAGTTTACCACTGACCAGCTCGGCGAGCTGTATGCCGAGGATCAGCCTGGCGGCGGCGGTGTGCAGCTCGGTGAGTGGATTCAGCCTGGTGTTGACGCTGCTGCTGCTGCTGCTGCTGCCAGGAGTGATGTCGACGAGGAGCTGGATTTCGTCCGAGATACGTTTTGGCCCCCCAAATGCCGCTGCAAGGTTCGGTGCAGCAAGGTCCTGCATCCGGAGACGAATATCTGAGATTGGCATGCGCGTGTGTCGGTATGCATGGATGTGTGGTGCGATGTGGAGTCTGGAGTCGCGAAAATGCGGGGGGATATACTTGTGTCTTTGGAGGAGTAATGGGGCCATGGGCATGGTGTAGGATAGCACGGATGGAGTAATATGGGTTTGGTTTCCTCTTCTACACTTTTGTGTTGGAAGAGCGGTTTGAGTTGGGAGGTATACATGGGAGGATTAGAGGCGCTGCTTTGTACAGGTTACAAGGTATCCAGGGAAAGTGTCAGAAGAAACTTGGAAGTAATTATCAGTGATACTTTTCTTAATTTGTTTCTGGTGGGGTCGCAGGATGAACTCTCTAGTATCAATGAATGAAAAGTATGGTTGCCATGAGTATGTATGCGTGTGTGTTCGTCGGCATTAGTAATAACCATATAAGCACGTCAGAGCAAACGACCAAGTCTGAAAGTGGGACACTATGACACAAATCCATTGAACCAAGACATTGCCAGTCGTGGGTATTCATAACTCTTCACTGATGCAAGCATCATTATAGCCAACAAAAAAGACACTGCATGGACTGGGACTGGAGGATGATGTTTATTGGCGTGAGGGGTCACTCAAAGCCATGTTGGCACACCACTATATCTGCACCGTGATATCGTCGCTTTCCATGCGTATGAAAGTGCAGAAGAGAGAATAATCGAAAAGTCCGAGAAACCACGCCGTTGACCATCCGTATCCCATTTTGCCAGCCCATACACCCGAAGCACCTTTGCAAACGTCTAGATGTAGGTCTCGTAAGGTACGGGTGTAATGTTCTCCGGCTTGTTGTCCTTGAGGCTGACGACACGCTCGTTGCGGGGCATGGCAGGCGCGCGCTTCATCTGCTGGGGCTCGCCAGTCTCCTTGGCCTTTTGTTGCTTGGCAAAGTTGAGCTTGACGCGCTTGAGGAAGTCCTCTCGTGAGCGCGAGTGGCGGACGTGCTCGATGCGGACGTTGATGCGCTTCTCCATGTATCGGTTGCCGACCTGCTTCTGGAGGATGACACCGACGGCCGACTTGGTAACGTTGTAGACGATGCCCGTCTTGCCGTGGTAGACCTTGTAGGGCATACCCTTCTGGACCGCACCTGCGCAAAATCATAAGTCCTCCGCCGACAATCGCTCTCGCTGGATTTCTGAGGGTTTCGTACCGTTGGCTACGACATCGACGATATCACCGACCTTGTACTGCTTGAGGTAGGTCGAGAGAGGGATCATACCCTTCTTCTTGAAGTCCCTCGAGAATCTAGCGCAGCGTCAGTTTTTGTGGCCTTGTCGTCTCCGCATTGCAATGCAGTGTTTTTTCGGGGAACCACGTACGCATAGCGCGTACCCGCGCGAAGACCGGCTGCGTGACCCATTGTGCGTGTCTTTGGGCTGTTGTGTGTGCGAAGTTCGTGACCTGGTGTTGCAGAGGCCAAAAATTGGTGTGCACAGTCGTCGAGTCGTAAGCGAATGCGGCCCGTGCACCGACCATTGCGCTTGGCACGAATTGAGGCTCAGCGGCGTGTCATTGGGACAGTGTTGCCTCATAGCCAATGTGGGATTGAAATTATTCAGATGAGCCAAGAGCTCTATGTGCAAAGTAGACATTTTTGACGCAAAAGACTTGAATCGCAGTTTCTGCGGTTGACATTGCAAAGCAACGATTCCGACTGTGCAGCTATTCACAACAAAACAATGCTGTGAACCTTGAAAGAGACAAGACACGATCATGTAAATCAATTGTCCGACACATCATTTCTCCCATCACTCCATTGACCCAGCCGTCGCAATGCTCAAAGACATGGAGGTCTAGCCAATCCTCCCTAAGCGAACGGAGGGGCGTCCGTGCGCACGACACTTGGCTTGGCACGCGCACTCGTCGAAATTCAACTTGCTTCACATTCTGCTGCGACTTCTCTCCTCCATCGACAACCACAATGGCGCCCCGCTCCTACTCCAAGACGTACAGCGTCCCCCGTCGTCCTTTCGAGTCCGCTCGTCTGTATGTGATTCCCCATGGCCACTGAGCGAGAGCGTGCTCCGCTTATGTCTGGGACACTGGTTAATTTCTGGCTAGGGATACCGAGCTGAAGCTCGTCGGCGAGTATGGTCTCCGCAACAAGCGCGAGGTCTGGCGAGTCCAGTTGACTCTGTCCAAGATCCGTCGTGCTGCTCGGTGAGTATTTCCCGCTACGCGCTCTCGACGCGATGCAAAATATCTGGAAATTTCGGATATGGCAGGCACTAACATTTGGCAGTTCGCTTCTTACTCTCGACGAGAAGGACCCCAAGCGCCTCTTCGAAGGTAACGCCCTCATTCGCCGTCTTGTCCGCGTTGGTGTCCTCGACGAGTCTCGCATGAAGCTCGATTACGTCTTGGCCCTCAAGATTGAGGACTTCTTGGAGCGCCGTCTTCAGACCTGCGTGTACAAGCTCGGTCTCGCCAAGTCCATCCACCACGCCCGTGTCCTGATCCGCCAGCGCCACATCCGGTATGTATTCGGCGTCAATGGCTGAAAAAGCGCGCGACTAACAGCATGGCAGTGTTGGAAAGCAGATTGTCAACGTCCCCTCGTTCATGGTCCGCCTCGACTCCCAGAAGCACATCGACTTCGCCCTCACCTCGCCATTCGGTGGAGGCCGCCCCGGTCGTGTCAGGAGGAAGAAGGCCAAGGCCGCCGAGAAGGGTGGTGACGACGACGCTGGCGAGGAGGACGAGGAGTAAACTACACGCCAAAAGGAATGATTCATGGATGATCGGCGTTGGGCATGACGGGATGAATCTCTCTGACAGGTCTCCCTGTCCTGGAATGCATTATATCCCTTATGGGTCTCGGCTGGTAGATGATCTACACAAACACGATGTAGCCTCTGCCCAAAAATCTTCAATTGCCATCATCTGCTCAGTTCGGTCGTACTGCTTGTGATGTGCTGTTGGGACGTTGGTGGCCCTGTTGGAGTGGTGTTTGGACATTTTAAGTTGATTGAGGCTAACATTTGACCACTGAGATTTCTAACTACGATTCGTAGGTACATTGAAGATGCATACAGGGTATAATATCCTACCAGCCAATGCCCAGCCACTGTGCACAACCATAATCTAGTACGACGAATCATCTGTATACAGCCTGGTAACAGAAGCAGGTTTTCTGTCCGGGCTCGTCGCCAACCCAGCCGCCACCTTTGCCTTTGCCTCCTGCATGATCCAAAGCCCACTGCTGGTGCCCAGCCTCGTCGCGCCCGACTCGAGCATCTTGATGGCGGTATCGAGTTCCCGCACGCCACCACTCGCCTTGACCTGCATGGCCCGCCTGCTCACGCCCCGCGCTCCAAGATACTCGGCGGCCGCAACCATGAGCTGGACATTGGGCAGCGTGGCACCAGCGCCATTGAACCCCGTCGACGTCTTGATAAAGTCAAACGACGCCGCGGCCGCAAGATGCGATGCAGCCAGGATCTGGGCCCATGTCAATTGCGAGGTTTCGAGAATGAGCTTGAGCGTCGTGTTGGGACACAGCGAGCGGATCGTCGCCAGCTCTCTGTATATGGCGCTGTAATCCGGCATCTCAGGCTCGTCGTATGTGTGCGTGGAAGCGGTAGCAGCCGCGTTTTTGGCCGTGTTTGCCGCCGTGATGCTATCGATGGCCGAGTCTCTGCTTTGCGGGTGGCGCTTATTATTGGTGTTATTGTGCTTTGTGAGCAGCGAGTAGTTGAGCACGACGTCGAGTTCAGCGGCGCCAGCTTTGACGGCGGCGCGCGCCTCGCGGCACTTTGATTTTGTGTCCTGGGTGCCTTCGTGGAAGCCCACGACGCAGGCGACGACGACATTGGTGCCCTTGAGATTCGACACGCAGCGCTGCACCCAGTTGAGGCGCACGCATACAGACTGTGGTGCATGTTAGTTAGGGGACTTGGTCGCATGTAACTGACTACATATAGAAATATATGTAGATAACATACCTTGAAATTCTCGGTGCGGGCCTCGCTGCACAGCGCGTCTATAGCGGTGCTCGTAGCATCGAGCTTCAGGACGGTATGATCGATAGCCTTTGCGAGTTGGCGCAACGCCTCGTCGCCATTGCGCATGCGCGGGCCCTGGTAAATCTTCTTTGCACGCTTGCCGCTCTCCACCTCCTTGAGCACCTGCTTGGTCGTCTCGTCAATCTGCGCCTGCCACTCGTCGTTGGTGTACCGGTCCGTCATAATCTCAATGGGCGACGGATCGTCGAGGTCGAGATCTGGGTTAGCGGCCAAGAAGCCTCGGATCAGGACCTCGGATTCTGTGAGGGGGATGGGGTGGGGGTTTGTCGCGGCTCCGGGGCCCGCTGCTTCTGGAGATGGCACGGCTGCAGACATGGCTTCGTACTTTAAGCGCCGTGTGCTCGTCTGCTGCTCTGGGCTTGCGAGATTATGAGATCTTGGTTTATTGAATCGTTTAGTTTAGTGTCCGTTCGGATCGTGGTTGGCCAGAGTCTCGCGCAAAACAAAAGCGTATTGGACAACGATGACGTGCGGTGGCTTTTGGCGAGTCGTGGAGGGATCAAGGCTTGTACGCTAGTATCAAGCCTTGCACTTGTGCTTGGGCGACAATGGAGCGAGGGACAATTGTGGAAGATGACGATTGTGATTGCCATATATGTACTGGAAATTGGCAGCGGAGGTCGGCGTTCTGCCTGTCATGTGTGTGGGTGGGAACGGGGCCCCGACCGGGCTCCCCCACTTCAAAGGTAGAATTGTGCAGCGCAGGGCGACGTCCTTCTGTTCTGGGTTAACGTGTCCGCTCGCTACAATGCTAGGTGCCGCCCCCCGAGTATCAAAATTATACCCATTGAGCCTCTCCATGCTCGGCACAAGATGCGCCGAGGAGCCAGACAATCACAATTGGTGTTGCAGCAAAGTCACTCTGAACAAGTGGTGCGAAACGAGTGTGAGGATTTGACGTTTTGATTTACAAGGGACCGCTAGCATGCGTAGGTATCCTCGATTGCAAACCGGTCCTCACCCTGGACGACTGATCCAAAGGCTCTGAGATGCCATCTCTCCTCCCACATGCGTGTACATGAAAGCTGAAAGACCATGCCGAACAAAAAGGAAATAGATTCGAGGGAAAAGGGTGGTCCATCAGCGCTGAGATATCCGGAACTCCCGTTTTTAGTGACTTTTGTATTGACTCGAGTCGAAAGATCCCTCTTCTATCCTGCGGTCGAGTCGATCGGCGCCAATGAGATCTACACCCTATGCCATGATAGTCGTCATCGTAACCCATCAATCCCCGCTGTCATTGCAACGAGTCGCCTACTTCCTTCGGAAAGAGCAGCCCTCGGTCAACCGCGCCTTGCCACCAGTGGGCTGGCACCTGTGCATGCATTAGCCCCTGCCTCTACAATGTGGCATCTTGTCCGAGAAAAAAAAACTTACAGGACCTGCGAGCAGCCCTGGCAGACGACGACTGTGTTGGCGTGCGAGAAGACGGTCGTGATGGTGAAGCATCCGGGGCACTTGACGTCCATGAAGAAGGAGCGGGGGGCGGGCACAAGCGTCTTGAGCTTGTGCTTGCGGGCCTCACTAAATCGACAGTTAGTCGCTGGGCGAAGGCGAGAGGGAGGGCGTGTGAGCGTACGCGGCCGGGGTGGGGTTGAGAAGGTCAACTGCGAGAACCTGCAATGCTGTTAGCCTGCATTCTGCATTATTCTTGTCGTCGTCGTCGTTTCGGCGCAGCGCAATCGAGCACGACATTGCGATTTCAAGGCATGTGGCAAAGTCCCGACAGTCTCGTGTGCCTGCCCGCTAGCCCCTCGCAAAACGCTCTCTGGCGCCCTCGCACGGTCACACTCACCATATTGACGGTTTACGGAGAGTCGTGGACTGGTTGTTGATCGCCGGCGGCTTGAAGTCGATGGATTGGGCGCGAGAGTCGAGGACGCGGACGGCTTGAGGAGAGGAGAGGGTGTCAGTGTGGAAAACCAGTGTGGGCGGGCCATGCGTGGTTAGCCGACGCGCGCTAACGTCGTCTTGGCTCTAGCCTAAACACTTTTCACCGACGACTAGGAACACAAGATTCACGGACAAGGGCGCCATGGAAGCGTTTGGCAATGGCTCATAATGAGTCTTTGTGATTTGTAGATTCGTCGTATTGTCAGTGTCCGGCTGCGTGAAGCAGGAATGCGCAACATGGCGCAGCGTAGCCGTGCCACCTTGGAGCTCCCTGAACGCACATTCACATGTAAAGAACATGATAGTCTATCAAACTGTTGCTTCAACTTCAGCAACTCCATCATGAGCTCATGCATCGCCCAGGACGCTATGGTCTTGATGACCAGCTTCCCCGCGTCTTAGGGCAAACAACCACGTGAACAAGCATGTAGCCGTCATTTCGCATCAACACCAGCCAATCTCTTGACGACATTATTGGACTTTGTCTCTGGTAAAGTGTTGGAAGTAGTAAAATTATCTGACTGCATACGCATTGATTTGAATTGACATGCAAACCCATCCCAGCATCAAAGCATCAAAAATACAATAAGTACACCTACAGAAAAGAGGTGGCAATTTGGTGCACATCGGACCGACTAAGCTCATGTACTCAAGTGCAAGCACACGACACCCAACCGCCGTTGGCTGTTTACAAAAGCATCAGCATGCATCCACATCTGTGAATGGTCAGAAGTCATGCCACATGCAGCCTTACAACACGCAGCACGCATGCTCGCTACCCACTCTGTTCATGCTGACTACTCGTCACGAGAACACGGTTGTATGGGAAAGCTCACCATCTCTCTCTCTCTCCCTCTCTCTCTCTGCGTCTGTCTGTCTTGGCGTCCGCTAGAAACAAATGTCTGGAAGCTCCACTGAGCGCTAAAGTGCGAGGTATTACCGCAACTGAACTGGTCTAATCTGACCTTTACCCCACTTAGCGTGCCTGTGGTGGGACAACTCCGGGAGAACTGGGGGGTTGCGTACTGGATTCCGGTATAAGGACAGCGAAGTATCCGAACCAACCCTACTTTTCAATCCAGTAGAAAACCGAGATATTTTGATCTATTTCAAGCAAAGAGATTGTGTGTGTGTGTGTGTAACGAGAGCGATTACGAAAGAAAAAAATGGCAGCACAAGAACTCAACGCGCAAGAAATGGAAAAGGCGAGGAAGCTGAACCATGTACCGTGGGGCGCAGAGTACGAGAAGATGATATCGGGGATGCTGTATGTATTCAGACTTTTTCCTCTCCTTGAACAGAAAAATAGTCCTACCAGTACATGTTTCCTCAGTCCGAATTCCCCCCCACTATACCTTAGTTCCACCTTCAACCCTCGATGTCCAACCACCAAAACAAACCCCCCAAACTAACCCCCAAAACAACCCCCACAGCTACAACGCCTCAGACCCAACCCTCAGCAGCGCGCGCTTCGCCGCCCGCGCCTTCGCCCACAAATACAACACATGGTTCCCACCGGCCGACTCCACACCAGACGGGGCCACCGGATTCCAGGTGCTCGCGACAGAGCGGCTGAAGATGCTCAAGGGGATTCTTGGATATGTCGGTGATGACGAGGTTTGTAAGTCTTTGTTTCTTTATTTTTTTTCTTGAATTCACCTATCCATCCATCCTTTATTCACTTATTCATGTATTCAATCATCCCGCAATTCGACATTCCCCCTTCTCGCATTAATTACGAAAACAAGTCATCGAGCCACCCTTCAACATCGACTACGGATGCAACATCTCGTTGGGCCCACGCTTCTACGCAAACTTCAACCTGACGATTCTCGACTGCTCGCTGGTGACGATAGGCGCGCGCTGCATGTTCGGTCCCAACGTGTCCATCTTCGCGGCCACGCACGAGGCAGAGGTGCAGAGCCGGCGCGATAACGTCGAGTATGGGCGGCCCGTGGTGATTGGGGATGACTGCTGGGTGGGAGGCAATGTGGTGATTTTGCCGGGGGTTACGATTGGAAGGGGTGTGACGGTTGGAGCGATGAGCGTGGTGACGCGCGATGTGCCGGATTTTTGTGTCGTCATGGGACAGCCGGCGAGGGTGGTTAAGAAGGTCAAGGAGGTGGAGAAGTTGGAAGGGGATGCGTGAGGTATGATATGGACAGAGAGGGGGGGATGCAGTCACAGTAAACATCAAACATCAGTCTAGAGCGCAAGCTACTCAACAAGTTGATCTAACATTACGGAACCTCACTCTAGCCAAAGGAAAATGAAAAAAAGTGAAAAAAAAGATAAAGCTTTTCAGCACAGAAGCGACGGGAGGCTTTCGCCAGTTATCAAAGAGTGCACACGTGCATACTCTGTCTCCGAACAACACCCAACGAAACAAACGAGAGAAGAGAAAGGAAGCCAGCACCGAAGCCGAGCTACAAGCAAGCATGTACAATAAAGGTATAAAGGTGTCGAACAGAATAACCAAAAGGCCAGGAGATCTATGCTAAACAGCATGCTCCATCCAAGAACAAAGGAAATGCACCTCGCAAGAGGGACCCAACTTGCCCAAGACTCGTCTTCTTCCTTATCCAACCATAGCTGAGTCGACATGGCTTCTTCATAGAAGCACTGAACCGGCGACAGTAGAGAGTTGAAGGATATCAAAGATGTTGAGGTGGGAGATGGCGATCATAAGGGCTTTTGCGGTAAGCCCTTTGATCCAATGAAAAAAAACGGAACACGTGACAAAAACAGGCGCAATATCGGTCGAGCTATTCGGGCCGGGTAAAGGGCGAGTAGCTTAGAGGATGACGCAGCCGCCGCTCTTATCTTTGCTGGTCTTGACCTGGAGGGCGACACGAGCAGCTTCGGTGAAGGCTTCGTTGACGCCTCGATTCTTCATAGCAGAGCACTCTGGACCCATGTTAGTCTGCTCTGATAATGACAAGGAAGTACGGCCGTACCGAGGTATCGCAGTGCTTTGATCTTTTCTGCCACGCGCAACCCCTCGTTGTAGTCGATGCATGGCTTTTCGGGCTGCTGGTCGTCGGCGTCATCGTCATCTTCCTTTTTCCGCAAATCGCACTTGAGTGCGACGAGCACGAGTTTAACGTCAGGGCAGTTTTCCGCAATCTCGCCAACCCACTTGGTCTCTACGTTTTCAAGCGAATCCGGCGAGTCGACCTGACTTGGTTAGTAGTAGTCAGGAGAGCACAGGGCTGCGTGGTCGCACCGAGAAGCAGAGCATAATGGCATGCGTGTCATCGTAGCTGAGCGATCGTAGTCTGTCGAATTCTTCTTGTCCAGCAGTGTCCCATAAACTCAGCTCGACGTGGGTGTTGTCAATGTAGATGTCTGGAGGACAAGGTCAATGCGGTGTTGTCGACGTTGAAGTGCAGAGTACAAACCGTGTACATAGTTTTCTACAGACAGAGTTAGCAGGGTTGGTGCAGGGCGCATGAGGAGTGCTCACCGAATACCGTGGGCTCACTGGAGGGGCATGGTCAGCCTGGGGCGCCAACATGGACGGCGCAAGCCATTACTTACTATACTGTTGGGAAGTATCTGTGCACCGGTCAGCAAGGGATGCGCGAGTGCAGCGCGTTGTCAGACATACCCTCGTGTGAAAACATTCAGTAGCGAAGTCTTGCCGCATGCACCATCGCCTCTGTCCAAGGAGTGTTAGCCAAGTCCCGTCGCATCATCATTGCGACGCCAAGCTGAAGAGGCTTTCGCAAACAAAGGCCGCACGCACAGAAGCACCAGCTTGCGCTGCACCGACTTTGTTCCACCGCACAGGGGCATCGTGATGGCCGGGAGGGCGAAAGGCAGCGAGGAATTCGTTCGGCAGGTTCGGGGACGGGGGCAAGGGCGTGCGCGCGTGTTGTTGTTGTTGTTGTTATGGCTGGTGGTGGTGCAGAGGACAAAGGGCGAGGGCGGTAGTGGTGACGAGAGTGGTGGCGAGGGCGAGGGCGGCGGCGGAGATGGCGTGAAGGAGAGTACGAGACGCACGAGAGAGGCCCAGCGGTCGGTGGTAGGGGTGCGGGCGTTGGGTCGGGAGGGATCCAGAAGGCGTGGTCTGGAGAGGCAAACGATGGGGCGGATGGAGCAGTGGAGTTCAAGATGCACCCACACCCACGTCGCATGGGTTAAGCCTAAACGGGTGATTAGTACTGCTCCCGCCCGCGCGACCACTTCACAGCCTCGATGCCATGTGCTCGGGTGTTGGGGCGGCCAATGGTCGAGTGAGCAGCGCGGGCATCGAGAGCAGCGCGAGGCCACGGGCAGTGTGGTATTGGCATGGCCAATAGTGCGGCCACGGGCGGCGACGCTGGGCGTGGTTCAGGCCTGGGGACTGGGGCGAGCGGTTCCAGGTCCGGGGTAGCAACCAGGCGCTGCCACTGCTGCAAAGAGAGGGGCCATGGCCGGCTTATTGCACGTCCACGTCTGCAGCAGCGCCCGCCCAACTGCCACTGCGTTATTGCTTATCGCCGGGCGTTGGAGGCGAAGCCGTCGAGAGAGCGGTGCGATGCATTCATTGATTTCCCGTCGACAGGCCGAGTCCCTGCAGCGCCGCCCGCCCAAAGTCCACACAAGCGCCCGCCTGTTGGGCATTCAACAATGGTTCGCTCCATGCCCCCGCCGCCGCCGTCTCCAACATGCCGAAGCTGTCCCAGTTCTCAGCGGGCGAGTCAGCCGGGCGCATTCCCGTCTGCGTCTTCATGTGCTAGTCTATTGTGACTTGGCCGACTGCCTGGCAAGTCGATAGCATAGCGCCGGAGCAGGCGCCGCAGTAGGTGTCGGCTTGACGGTAGGGCCTTTTTTCTGTTTGGTTATGCCGCCTCGGTGATGAAAAGGCAAGGGCCGGCCGTTCCGTCAGTCGGTTGATCAGTCAGCCAGCCGATTAGTCAGGCCGAGGGGCGAGCGTGAGCGCGAATGGGAGTGAGTGCACACAGCCACTGCGGTCCTGGGGTGTAGGTAAGGTGTGGGTTGTGGGCGTGCTCGGCGGGCAGCCTTAGCCCCGCGCGAGTGGGGCCAACAGCTCTGGCGCGCAGGCATCACCACGACGACGTCCATAGACTACCAGACCCAGACAACACGTCGCCGCCGGCACTGCTCCTCTACCAGCAAACAAGCGTCCCGGCCTGCCTGATATCAATCCGACTCTAGCTCTTGCCGTCCATCGCAGGCCCCTAATCCTGATTGCATTGCATATATCAGCCCGCCCGCCCGCAACCATGTCCGACGACGATGACTTCATGCAGGACTCGGGCGAGGAGGAGTAAGCAGTCACACTGGCACCCACACGGCCTGCTGTCTAACCTGCCGCAGGTACGACTTCGAATACGAGGACGACGATGACGACGAGACGGGCGATGTCGACATTGAGAACAAGTACTACAACGCAAAGCAGCTCAAGACCGACGACCCCGAGGCCGCCATCGACGAGTTCTTGGGCATGCCCGCCCTCGAGGAGGAAAAGTCGGAATGGTACGAGACCACGGCACGCCGGGCCCATGCATGTTCGCTGACGGACACAAAGGGGCTTCAAAGGGCTCAAGCAGGCCATCAAGCTCGAGTTCAAGCTGGCGCGCTACGACAAGGTACGTGTCGCCACCACGGCGGCAGCGGGGCTGTGACTGACGGCGGGGACAGGCGGTCGAGCACTACAAGGAGCTTCTCACGTACGTCAAGTCGGCCGTCACGCGCAACTACTCGGAAAAGTCTATCAACAACATGCTCGACTTTATAGAAAAGGCTGCAGAAGACGCCGACGCCTATCGCTGCATGGAGAAGTTCTACGCCCTGACGCTCGACATCTTCCAGAGCACAAACAACGAGCGCCTGTGGCTCAAGACCAACATCAAGCTCGCCCGGCTCTGGTTGGACAGGAAGGACTATCGCCAGCTTACCGAGAAGCTCCGCGAGCTGCACAAGGCCTGCCAGCGCGACGATGGCACAGACGACCCCAGCAAGGGCACGTATTCATTGGAGGTGTACTCGCTCGAAATTCTCATGTACGCCGAGACTAGGAACAACAAGCGGCTAAAGGTCAGTGTGGCGCCCCTCCCAAAGCGTTATGCGGTGCATTTGTGCTAAAAGGCCATGGCAGGCCCTCTACCAGCGAGCGCTCAAGGTCAAGTCGGCGGTTCCACATCCCAAGATTATGGGCATCATTCGGGAATGCGGTGGCAAGATGCACATGAGCGAAGGCAAGCACGGCATGCGGGCGGCCGAGACATGCAGCACAGGCTAACTGGGACCCAGAGAACTGGAAAGGGGCGCAGAGCGACTTTTTCGAGAGCTTCAAGAACTACGACGAGGCGGGATCGCTGCAGCGCATCCAGGTGCTCAAGTACCTGGTGCTCGCAACCATGCTGTCGGGCTCGGACATCAACCCGTTTGACTCGCAGGAGACCAAGCCGTATCAGAACGATCCACGCATCTCGACCATGACGGACCTGGTCAATGCCTACCAGCTGGAAGACATTCACGGGTACGAGCGGATTCTGCAGAACAACCAGGACCTGCTGCAGGATCCGTTTATTGCCGAGAACATTGACGAGGTGACGCGCAATGTGCGCACCAAGGCCATTGTCAAGCTGGTTGCGCCGTACACGCGGTTTACGCTGGCGTTTATTTCCAAGCAGCTCAAGATTTCGCTGGGCGAGGTGCAGGAGATTGTGGGCTTCTTGATTGTGGACAAGCGGCTGCGAGGCAAGATCAACCAGCAAAAGGGCACGGTGGAGATTGAGAGTAGCACCGACATGGATCGGGTGCAGGCGATGAGGGAGTGGAGCAGCGCCATTGGCTCCATGTGGCAGACTGTGCTGAATGAGGGCGAGGGTTTCAAGTCGGACGAGAGTGCGTCCCAATTTACACCTGGTGGGCCGTCTGGTATGGGATGGAACCAGAGCTCCATGGGCGGCGTCAAGGTGGGGTGGGCAAAGGGCAAGGGTCCTGGGCGGCAGGCGGGCGTGATGAGCAAAGGATGACTTGCAGCATCGGTCGCGCGCTTCACAAGACGACCTGGAACTGGGTTGCCGGGACACAGGACGGAACACTGGCGGTTGCACGTTGGCGTTGGCGAGGCGCTCCTCACCTGAAGAGCGACATGAGACATGCGGGCGGGCAGGCTGGGGGGGGGGCGACGCAGTTTGGTAGCACGAAGCAGGCGGGCGGGCGGGCGGGCTGGGACGAGTTTGGTGCATGTGCGGCGGACATGCTCGGTCAGGCAGTGGTCAGCTGGCTGTATGCAACACGGCCTCGTTCAGTCATCAATGCAACAATGGAAAAGAGCTGGCAGCGCGGGCCCGGGCCCTGGCGCCATGCTACGATACATGGCCGTATGGATGCTAGTGCTGGACGGACGCAGACGACGACGACGATGACGGGACCGCCACGGTGGGGCGCGAGGGTGTTTTGGCCGTGGAGCCTGAGACTATTGAATTGGCCATGGCCGTGACGCAGTGCATGGGTTGCGTATAGGCTGGCGTGGGCGGATTCGAGAGCGAGGAGGGTGCGAGGGAGCGTGTGGGTGCGAGCGTGGTTCCCGACAACGGCACTACGCTCCGGGGAAGCGGGCGCGGGACAGGGGGCCGCCGTGTCGAGCGAGCCTGTCAGCGAATAGCCTCGCCCACGCCGCGCCTGACTCGCTCTTGGCGTGGGCTCGCTACCCTCGCTGCCCTCGCTGCCTGTGCCTGTGCCTGTGCCTGCCTCCCAGCTTGTCTCGGCTGCGCGGGACCTTTTTATTACTTTCTTTTGCATTTGCCTTTGCCTGCCTCGTCGACCCTCGCACCAGCCCTCATGGCCGCCCACGACGACGAATCATGGCCGCCCCGCCGCACCACCCCCCGACCCCCGGCCAGCTGCCCTCACCATACGCCGCAGCGCCGCAAAGAAGGCCGCCTGGCGCCTTGGGGCCTTGGGAGAAGGGCGAGGGGGCGAGGGGGCGAGGGGGGCGTGCCTCGATGATAATCATCATGATACTGCCACGGCCGTGTCTGGCAGGATTCCGCCGCGTGACACGGCATCTTGCTGCTTGTCGATCGCATGCAGCACCACCACCCAGCACCACCAGCCTCACCTCAGGCCCCGTCAACGCCAACGCCGCCGCCCCAGCTGCTGCTGCTGCTGCTGCTGAGCCAGGCCCACTCCAGGGGTGCTTGTGGAGGGGCTCTCCGTCGCCCATCCCATCCTGTCCATTCTGCCGCGGCTCTATGCTCGGCGATATCGTCTTCAATGTGATGTGATGGACACCAGAGTCAGAGTGTACTTCAATTTCCAGACGCGGGTCCCAGCAAAGACTAGTCGGAACTGACAGTTCCATATCACACGCTGCCCATGCCTGTTGCGCATACAGTGCCGCTTCGCCTGGGGGCAAGGAAACGGGCCATGGGTCATGGCCGTTCCCCCCCCCTCGCTCGTAGCAGTTGCTTTTGTCTGATGCCTTCTGGCGCGGATTGAATCTGTGTGCCTCTGAGCCTCTGTGTGTGTGTGTGTGCATGGCCTTTTTTCTTCTTCTCTTGTACGCCCTCACGCCCACACTCTCTTTCTCTCTCACTCTCACACACACCTTTTCCTTCTCCCTCATATATCCGCGCACGCACACATATACAACGATACATATACATAGACATAAACACACTCACTCACCCATCCTTTCCCCGAGCCGAGCCTCTCATTGGTCTTCCCATCCACCCCCCGTCTCCCGTGCAACGAAAACAGGGCTGTTGCAACGCGGCTGGACAGAAAGAAAAAAGGGTTGCAGACTGTTTTGGTCCCTGGCAGGCTGGATCCCACTGGCAGGCTGTGAAGATCGCTCCTCTCTTTCCCATAGGCATATTGGCGCTGTGCCCCTGGACGCCCGAGGGTATCACAGCAACGACACAGCTTCCAGCCCGGCGCCGCGGGTCTCTGCACCTACTAAAAGACGCTGCTGCCCTCGTACTCAGCAGCTTGCGGGCGAATTGTTGCTGAGATCGATGCGCATTGCCGACGCTGCGGTGCAATCCTTGCGTCCAATTGCCAGACGCCAGTCACGCCCACAGGCGCCCACGCCAAAGCAAACCACCTGAGGAAACAGGCCCGCGGCGGGCGGGGGGGGGGGGCAGAGCGCGAGCATCGCAGCTCCCAACGCACACACACACTCACACTCACACTCCCACACACACACGCACACACATACACGCACAGCACGCCCTTCGCCCTCGAGCCCAGATAGCCTCGCCATGAACCGGCAGTCGGTGTTGACGGGCTTCCACCACCCTCACGCGCACCAGCACCCGCACGCGCATGTGCACCAGGGCCACTATCGAGTCCCGGCACAGAGCCACTACCAAAACGGACTGGCGTTTGCTATCCGCGCCCCGGTCCTTCCTCCCGCGAGCTACAACCATCACCACACTGGCCACCACCACCGCAACCCCCACCTCAACATGGCCGCCTATCCCTCCGACGAAGACTATGCGCATCTGCAGAAGCTGTCGAGCGAGTACGAGCCCGAGGCCACCGTGAGTCTGCCCTTCTGCGCCCGTGACTTTTGCACGCCCGCTGACCGCCCCCCAAGGGCCCACTTGTGGGCGAACGCCAGAGCAGCGCCGCCATCACGACGCAATATGCCACGGCAGACCCCGTCTTCCAGGTCAAGACGGCGGCGCTGCCTGCAAAGTATGCCTACTTCCGCACCTGTCGTGGCGATGGCCACTGCGGATGGCGGGGTAAGTTGCCAATTGCATCTTTGCGGTGCTGCTGCTGTTGCGGCCAGTGCTAACGCCAACAGCAATCGCCTTCACCTACTATGAGGCCCTGCTGCGCCTGGCCGACGTGAACAAGTTTGACGAGGAAGAAGCCCGTCTGAACTCGCTCGGCAATCTCCTTGACCACATTGGCTATTCGCGCGACATCTGGATTGATTTCGCCGACGAGGCATTCGAGCTCTTGCACAAGCTGGCCAACTCACTGCGCAGCATGGATGGCCAGGCTGCCGACATCCTGCTCCGCACCTTCAACGACATGGGCGAGTCCATGGCAATCATCACCTACATCAAGGTTGGTCTCGAGTGTCTCTTGTTTGATGCCGAATGCTACTAACGCTCTGTCTAAGCTTCTGGCCAGCGCCTGGATACAGACGCATGCAGACGACTTTGTCCATTTTATAGACAATGGCGACGTCAGGGGATACTGCGCCAACAACATTGAGCCCACGCAATGCGAAGCTGACAATGTCGGCATTGCCGCCCTTGCAGAAGCTCTCGTCAAGCCCGCCGGCTTTGGCATCGAAGTGTGGTATCTAGACCGCTCACCAGGCGAGGAGATCAACCGCAGCTACTACTCGGAACCAATAGACGCACATCATCGCCCCATCGCCGGTGCCCCTATGCTGAGGCTACTCTACAGGCCGTAAGTGCAACACCAAGCTCCTGGCCTCCTCCTCTTCCTCCTCTTCCTCCTCCTCCTCTTCACTTGCTGACTGCCGCTAGTGGCCACTACGATATTCTGTACAAAGCCGAAGACGTGGTTCAAGTCCAGCACCAGCCTGTCCCTCAGCAACAACCACTCCACGTGGCCATAGCCAACTACAATGACGAATTCATTCCGGCTGCAGCAAACGTTGGCGACGTCATGAACATGATCCCGGGAATATATCCCTCAGGCATGGGCCCAGGCCAGCGATGGCCTTCACTGTCATACGACTTCAGCCCCAGCCCCGCTTCTCACGCTCAGGTTACGCCTGTCCAACCGTACGCTCCAACGCCAACGCCAGTAACTCCGGTCAGCAACTCACACTTGGACTTTGTCACACCCATCCACACAGCCAATGCGAGTCAGTACAACCCGCCGAGTCACCACAACATCCACCTCGAACAACCCCTGGTGACACTCCCAATACACCCTCCCCCGCCCCCTGTGAGCATCAACCAAGCCGCCCCCATGGGCGTTGAACGAGGCGGTCCGTTTAGGCCATCAATGTACGAACTGGAGCCTGGTTTCGGGTCTGCGATGCAAGTGCAGCAGTTCCAGACGTCAATATTTCGCAAGTAAGCATTAGCCTGTCGCGTGCCTGACCTCTTACTTACCCATTCAAGTTCTCACTTCAATACGGCGCACTTTATGAACCCAGACTTTGAACCCGAACAGTGGTGTCCAGAGGGCGAGTATGCCACGGGAAACAAAGGCCGGCACAAATGACACTCGTGAGCATGTCAATTTATACGGTTTCGGTTTGCTTGCGCGCTTCTCACGGCTTTTCTCCAACATGTTAGCGACACCTTGCTCACAGCCAGCATCTTCCACCATGCGGTCTTTCCACACTGACGACGAATAACGACCAACACCTGTTACTCTCTTTCGGACCAATCATCAGTTATCTTTACACATGGAAAAGCGACGGCACTCTGAGTGCCTATATACGGGGTTGTTTTGGGCATGCATCTGCTTTTACACTAGCATCCATCCACTATCTATTGTTTCTTCCAGCGAGGGCGGAGTACTGTACCTTCTTTCTTCCCTACCAGCCAACCCCGCAAGGATTCACGACTGTGATGAATACCAAAGACTATCTGCCTCAGGGTGATCGACTTTAGAGTTGAACATCTTTATCATGGCTCTCTTGTTTCTTCTCTCTCTCTCCCCATCTGTAGTCTTATTAGCGATCAGTCATCATGTCTCGACATATTTTAATCACACAGACACCTTCTCTGAGCTTAATAATACAATACACTATTCGGTATGCGTAGTCTTTTCTGTCGCTGCACCCATCGGATGCATTCTCATCCACGATTGGCCTAGCAATACGAGAGATGTCTGAGCGACCAGCAAGGGGGCGGGGGGAGGGGACGACGAAGATGTGTTAGCAGGAATCGAAGGTTTCCAGATGGGTACATTCCGCATCACATCTGGGCGTTCTCCCAAGGCCTAGGCCCTTTATTTTGTGTGTCACGCATCTGAGCACGCAGACACCTGTCAGCCAGAAGAGACATGGCTGCTCAGGCATGTTTTTTCACACACACACACACACAGACACAGACACGCAAAAAAAAGCAAAGAAATGAAGAATTCATCAAACACCCGACATGGTGGTGGTAATATTCCTTGGCAACACCACACCATACCACACCACACCTGTGTCTGTGTCTGTGACATGGGATATATGACGCGTCCCCTTTTCTTTTCTTTTCTTTTTCTTTTTTGATTTTGATTTTGATTACTTACTCCTTCATCTGTTTTTTTTTGTTAATGCTGGGGTTTGGGGTTTGCAGATACCGGGCTGGCGGGTTTGCGCGGGAGGGCGGACGGGGCGGAACAAGGCGGGCGGACGGGTTGAAGGGGGCGGGCGGAACAAGGCGGGCGGCGAAAAGTCAAAAGTTAAAAGTCAAAACCTGGTCCTGGTCCTGGTCCTGGTCCTGGGTTGTTTCAAATTACTGCTGTTCGGTGCAGTGCGGTGCGGTTCCTGCGGCTGCCGTGGATGTGGATGTGGACATGGGTATGTCTGCTTCTGCTTCTGCGTCTGCGTCTGCTTCTGCGTTTGTGTGTGTCTGTGTGTGTGTGTCTATGTGTAGTGGGGATGCAGGCGTGTTGGTGGTGTATGTTCAGGGTGTGTACAGTATGTTAAGGGTTGAATGCGAGGCGAGGCAAGGCGAGGCAAGGCAATGCAAGGCAAGTAACTAAGTGATGTGAGTGATGTGAGTGTTGGATATGTAACATACATGGGAACTGTGACTTGACTTGGGACTGTGACTTGAGATTTGGAACTTGGGACTGACTAGGGGGGACTTGGAACTAGGAATTACGATTGATTGACTATCTTTCATCTTTCATCTTTATCTCGTCTTTATCTCGTCCTTTTTTTTACCGCATTTTCCATCACCTTGTTCTTGCCTTGTTCTGGTATGGTCTGATTTAGTATAGTCTGATTTGATTTGGTCTGATTTGGTCTGGTTTGGTTTGAGAGCGACAATCTAAATCTATCTAAACTCTAAATGAAACCGACTTTGTCATGAACAAGTATCTAATTCTTTTGCTTTTTTTTTGCTGTTTTCTTCACGCTGTTGTTGTAGTTCAGGTTTGGGTTTGGGAGGGATGATGTTGTTGATTCTGTTTCTTCTGTCTGATTCGTTTTGTCTATGCTTATATGTATAAGTAGTGTGGTTCTGGGATGTAATGGTGGTCATGTGATGGGGTATGTGAGTTGTATCAGTGGGTAATGTCGAATGTGGTATGAGATATATATATATGTGCTGGATTGGTAGTGAGTGAACTGGGTAGGGGATACCGAATGGTATTGGTTTCATGACGTTGATGGAGAGAGATGGGGATGAAGGAATATGTGGAAAGGGATGTGTGGGAAGAAGAGGCAAAAGGGGGAATAGAAAAGTTGGGTATGTATTGCACCCGCTGTCTTGCGGGATTATCTGGCTGGTAGATAGATAGGCAGGTAGGTAGGTAAGTCACTCGATCTATGCCATAATTAGTTGATATAAGCAAGAAAATAACCAGTGTGATATAGCTAAATAGTAACACATTCCCTAACTTTATTTCTGCCTTTACATCAAACACACATACGCAAATCTCCCACTTATTCACGCACACACACAATAATCCCGCCAAGCAAATGCAAGCAAAATACCCCCCACTCCTCTCCTGCACCATCATCTTACCCACTCCTTTCATGCAAGCCCCAAACACGATCGATGCAATCGATCGGAGAAGACGACGCCTGCACCAACTCCCGAAAAAAAAAACCCTTCGCTCGCTCCAATAGCTACATACATGCAAGCCCGCCCCCCTTTTACTCATGCAACAGAATCTAAGAGAGGAAGGAGGAGGGGGGGGGGGCGCGGCCCAGATTCACACCCGCAGATTTTTCTTTTCTGCAAGTCTTGATTATATTTCCCCATTTGATTGCGTACTGGTGGTTTGGCCTGATTCGGGTCGGGACGGGGACCGAAGGTGTGTGTGTGGTGGGGGGGTGGGGGGGGGGAGGAGAGAGGAGAGAGAGAAG